ATGTATATGTGTGTGTGTGTGTGTATATATATATATATATATATATATATATTAATATTAATTTATTTATTCTTTATAATTATATATTTTTCATGCATTTTAATAAGAATAGTTTTTCACATTTTTATTTGTTTTATCTTTGTGTGTGTGTTTTTTTTTTCCTTTTTCCAACCAACATATTTTTTAATCGTAATATTCGAAGTTAACCCATTTGTCAAAGATGGTGCAAGGTTTATATGATGTATAGTTAGGAGTTATTTCACATACCTCACTCTCATGAAGGGGTTAAATGTGAACTCATCAGCCAGTGTAGAGGGAATGGTTGGCTCTCCGTTATCGTATTTTTCCTAATCGGTGTAAGACAAGGTTATTCAAAAACCTGTGCTATGATCATTTTTGCTGCTAAAGTGAATACGAGTTCAAGAAGAGTTAAACACCTTAGCCCATGCTAACTTTTTCTGGATGACCTCATTATTTGGTTCAACATGCCGAGCAAACTTCAGATTATTGATGGTGTACTCATGACCACAGTACACACGCTGAAACAAAAGCAAATTGTAACTTAAGAACGTGACTTTAGATGACCTAAAACATCTATTTCTGTAACCGTGAAGATAGCATAGCATTCAATTGCATTTATTCCTTTAATAATAAATGATCAGTCAGTAGCATTTTATAGGAAAAAGGCAGAGATTTCAGTTTAGATGGTGGAATTGTTACCGTCTCTGGAGGAAGACGGCCTAAAACCTCGATCAGGGCTTTATACATCTCATCAGCGGTACCCTCAAAAAACTTTCCACAGCCGGCCACGAACAGAGTATCGCCTGTTTATAATGTGAACATAACAAAAAACGACTGATTGTTAATACAGTCATACAGAAATTAATACTTTTATTCATTATGGGTGCATTAAATTGATCAAAAGTGACAGTAAAGACATTTATAATGTTACAAAATATTTATTTTTCAAAGAAATGCTGTTCTTCTAAACTTTCTATTCATCAAAGAATCTTGAAAAAAAAAATTATCATGGTTTCCACAAAATTATGAAGCAGCACAACCGTTTTCATCATTGATAATAATCAGAAAGGTTTTTCGAGCAGAAAATCGTATCTGAATGATTTCTGAAGGATCATGTGACACTGAAGACTGGAGTAATGATGCTGAAAATTCAGCTTTTAATCACAGGAATAAATTACATTTTACAATATATTCAAATAGAACACAGTTGTTTTAAATTGTAATAATATTTCACAATGTTTCTGTTTTTACTGTATTTTTTATCATTTAAATGCAGCCTTGGTGAGTAGCAGAGACTTTTTCAAAAACATTAAAAAAAAAAAAAAACGTACCTACTCCGACCTTTTGATTGGTAGTGTATGTAAAATATGTCTTGCCTGTAAACACAGCTGGTGGTTCGGTGCTGTTTTCTTTTGTAACAAAATAGCAGATGTGACCGCTGGTGTGACATGGCGTGAACAAACACTTTACATTCAGGGAGCCCACCTGGAATAATAAAAAAAAAACATAAGAAAATAATAACATTGACAAATCCTACAATCTTAAATGTGTCCAGCAGTATAAAATGGATGATTCTGATTGGCTAAGCTGCACTCAAATCCAATTTATGCACATATGTGATTATACAATACCATTCAGAAGTTTGGGGTCGGTAAGATTTTTTATGTTTTATAAAGAAGTCTCTTATGTTTATCAAGGCTACATTTATTTGATCAAAAACACAGTAATAACAGTAATATGTGAAACATTATTAAAATTTAAAATAACTGTTTTCTTTTTGAATATATTGTAAAATTTAATTTATTGCTGTGATGCGACGCTGTATTTTCAGCATCATTACTCCAGTCTTCAGTGTCATGCTGATTTGCTGCTCAACAAACATTTCTGATTATTATTAATGTTGAAAACAGTTGTGCTGCTTCATATTTTTGTGGAAACCATGATAATTTATTTTCAAGATTCTTTGATGAATAGAAATTTTAAGGGGTCATATGATGCAATTTCAATTTTTCCTTTCTCTTCGTTTCAGAAAGGCGGGGCATAGAGGAGCAACAATAATGTACATTATGTGGAAAATAATGTGTTTTTTTAACCTTAAACCGCATAAACATATTTCATTATTACACCAAATACACAAAATAATGTTCTTTTTAGCAACGTCATATGACCCCTTTAAAAGAACAGAATTTATTTGAAATATAAGTATTTTGTAACATTAATAATGTCTTTCCTGTCATTTTTGATCAATTTAATGCATCCTTGCTGAATAAAAATATGAATTACTTAAAAAAAAAAAAAACAATCATACTGACCCCAAACGTTTGATCAGTAGCATATACGGTGGTGCTTGAAAGTTTGTGAACCCTTCAGAATTTTCTATATTTCTGCATAAATATAACCAAAAACATCATCAGATGTTTCACACAAGTCCTGAATGTAGACAAAGAGAAGCCAATCAAACAAATGAGACAAAAATATTTTCTTTCCAATTGAAATTGAAACTGAAAAACAGTTGATAGGAGGAAACCCGCCAACATCACAGAGTTGAAGCGTTCTGTACTGAGGAATGGGCTAAAATTCCTACAAGCCGTTATGCAGGACTGATATTTCACATACTTTTGCCACTCACAGATCTGTAATATTGGATCATTTTTCTCAATAAATAAATGACAAAGCAAGTATGTGACCCTGGACCACAAAACCAGTCATAAGGGTCAACATTTTTTTTAATTGAGATTTATACATTATTATTATTATTACAATAAATAAGCTTTCCATTGATGTATGATTTGTTAGGATAGGACAATATCTAGCTGAGATACAACTATTTGAAAATCTGGAATCTGAGGGCGCAAAAAAATCTAAATATTGAGAAAATCGCCTTTAAAGTTGTCCAAATGAAGTCCTTAGCAATGCATATTACTAATCAAAAATTAAGTTTTGATATATTTCCAGTAGGAAATTTACAAAATATCTTCATGGAACATGATCTTTACTTAATATCCTAATGATTTTTGGCATAAAAGAAAAATCGATAATTTTTACCCATACAATGTTTTTTTGGCTATTGCTACAAAAATACCCCAGCCACTTAAGACTGGTTTTGTGGTCCAGGGTCACATATGTTTGTCTCATTTGTTTGATTGGCTTGTGTGAAACATCTGATGATCTTCTGGGTCATTTTTCTGCAGAAATATAGAAAATTCTGAAGGGTTCACAAGCAGCACTGTATTATGTAAATCAGACTTACTTTGAAAGTGTTGTAGTGTGTGACTTTCTGAGTTAAAGCTCCCACTCTGTCATCTCCCCCATAAACTGTCAGTCCTGGCATGAGCTTTACCAGTTTCTCATTACCTCCTGCATGATCCCTGGAAGTTATAAAACATCAAATCTTTTTTCCCACTCAAATTTTGTCATATCAGAGCATATAGGCTACACACACATATATACAGTGTATATATATATATATATTCTAAGTCTGACTCACCAGTGATGGTGAGTTGTCAGGACGGTTTTGAGCTTCACACCATGCTTTTTGACCGCATCTACAACCTGAGACAGATGACAATTATGAATCCATGGTATACAGTCTGTAATGTGTGATGCGCACATTGAAGTATTGTTACTTTCTGAGGCTCTACTGGATCGACTATGGCTGCTTCCTTCGTGTCTTCATCGATGAGGAGGTACATGTAGTTGTCGGTGAGAGCAGGCAGCAGTTCTACCTTCATGTCTGTCTGTTCCACCAGAGATGACTTCCTAAGAGCGGAGTGAAACAAGCCTGTGGGAACTATAAAACAGAGATTCACGATCAGTAAATGTTCCAGCGTGAGTAATAGATTTACATCATTTTAGATTGCATGAAAAACATACCATGGTTACCATAATTTCCACCAAAATACTTCAGTCACTACAATTTTTTGTTACTGTACAACAAATTTTGTATGTTTTTCTAGCTGGTAAAAGCTGGTTATTTATGGTCATAAGTTGGTTAAGTTCATTGTCCATGTTCCAAAAGTGGTTCACCAGTTTTAATATTTTAGCCTGGTATGTAGGCCTGTCACGATAACAACTTTTTGTTGTGCGATATATTGCGACAGAAATAATTGCGATAAGCGAAATTATTGTCATTTTAAACACCATTTTATGCCACTGAATATATAATCATAATGTAATGGCATAATAATGCAAGAAGGCCTACACACTTCCAAATGACAACAAATTTTTAAGAATATTTAGATCATGGAAATTAAGTATCAAAATATTAGACACCTTAAAAAACCTGAATAAATAATAAATAAACATTTTCTAACAAAAAGTGCAGTAACAAGTAGAAAAAAAGAAAAATGCACAAAGAACTTGTATTGAGATTTTTCCATCTACAGATTTTTCCCGGACCTTCTTTTCTCTGTAAGTTAAGGGTGCACACTATTGCTGAGAAACACAATCACTACTTAGCAGTCAGATGTCCGTATGCACAAAGGCACAGATTCCTAAACAAGGCCATAACTGCAGATGAAACTTTTTTTTTTTGTAGAAGCATTTAAAAAAAAAAATGTAACTAGCACCTCATGACTACATCACGTTATGTACGAGAAGCTGCAAAAGACAGGCTCAAGTGGAATGTGCAAAACATAGTAACATTAATTTTTAAGTAAATATAATGGGCGATATATTGCGTCACAAAAAATTATTGAGGTCATGTACATATATTGCACGATAAGTCGATATATTGATTATTGCGACAGGCCTACTGGTATGACCAGTGATAAACGCAATTGAACAAAATGGCAATGGCAAATGACAACTACAATAAGTAACAATTACTGTAGTAAATGTAGTATTTTGGTGGAAACTATTAACATTAGGGATGCACCGATATGAAAATTTTGGCCGATACCGATAACCGATAATTCTTTATTTTTGAAAGCCGATAACCGATAAATCTATATCCAAATTTTTATATACTTTTTGAGAGCCTGATTACAAAAAAGGTCTCATCATTAAAAGCCACATCCCAAACACTTCAACATAAGCAGCCTAGTTTGAACGGTGTACGTTTTAAAAATAATTTTACTCTCCCATTACCAAATTTAGTCATAAAAAAGTCTTACAAATAAATAAAATAATGCATAAATAATGCAAACAAGTCACTGGACATCATTACACGTGTAAAGAATCAAAATGAATTCGCCATAGATCAATAAAACGGAATAGCCTCTGCATGGACAATAATTAAATGATTTTAATTACTAAACCATATTGTTGATGAAAATAATAAGAGAAAAATACAAGTGGTTGTTATTATTAATAATGTATCAATGATTTTGAAAAAGTAACAAATTAATACCACGGTTTTAAATAGCAGCCGTTTGAGCTGCGCATGCTGAAGCTGAAGAGCTGAATGACCACGGTAAACTGAAGCGTTTTGGTGGCAGCTTATTTAACTCAAGGAAATGCATCCTGAGATTAATATTAATACAACATAAACATAATATTACAACTTATATATGTACAAAATGACGCAGTTATTGCGTGCTATAGTCAGAATGTGTGATCCTGTTGTGGATGCGCTCTTCCCATAACAACGCGCTGAAACACAGCAACTAAACCCAAAGAATTCACAACGTTTTATTATAATAATGTTCTCATTAGAATGTTATATACACGACATTCCCAATCATAGTTATTAATGTTGTGCACTGCTGTTTGAGCTGCGTGCGCTGAGCTAAAGATGCCCACCGGTAAACTGAAGCGCTCTTTTAACTTAACCAAACGCATTCTATATGAGATAAATCAGATATACATCAAATAAACACAATATTACAACGTACAATTGCACAAAAGGCTGCAAACGAACAGCGCACATCTGAAGTGTCTCTGAAGGAAATAATGCATTATTTATCGGCTTTAAGATATCGGCCAAATTTTCTTATCGGGCCGATAACAGAAAAAATGAGCATTTATCGGCCGATACCGATATGGTGGCCGATATATCGTGCATCCCTAATTAACATGATATATTTTGGAAAGTTTTGATCTATACTACCGTTAATAAAAAAAAATTGTTTTTAAAATTAGTCTCTTATGCTCACCATGACTGCATTTATTTGATCAAATATACAGTAAAATCAGTAATATTGTGAAATATTATTACAATTTCAAATAACTGATGATCTGAGGATACTTAAGATACTATTCAAATATGTTTGAATAAATTCAAACATAAATTTCTTATCATCACTGTTGAAAACAGTTGTGCTGCTTAATATTTTTGTGGAAACTGTGGGGATGATTATTTGTTTAAAAATCATCTGCATGCACAATTGTGCCCACTAGTGTGCATTTTAAATCATAACATTTAGGGCTCAATTCATAATCGGCCTAATTGATCTCTGGAAAATACATATCTATTATGCTCAAAGTTTTGATGCTGGGTCATTCTCTCTATATTGCATCTATGCAATACTGTAAACAATAATGCATTATCGCAATACATTTACATTACATTTACATTTAGTCATTTAGCAGACGCTTTTATCCAAAGTGACTTACAAATGAGGACAATACAAGCAGTCAAAACTAACAAAAGAGCAACAATATATAAGTGCAAATACACGCCTAATAACACCACACAAGTGAGAATTAAGAAATGTTTGATAAATGGTTTTGCAGCTTTCAATTGCACAATGCAGGACAAACAGAAAGCATACAGTGTTTACAATTAACTGTTACGTCCCTCCTAACGCGCGACATGTTGCATTCAATATATTATACGATCACTGTAATCGTGCAAGCAACATTTTATGCTCGCTAACGTATGTCAACAGCTAGGATGATGTAACTCGACTCCGTATAAGGAACAACTCTTATACTAAATCATAATCAAAACATTGACTCCAAAGGTTCTGTGACAGCGCTGACATGTGATTACATATCCATAAATAAGCCCTTCTGGTCATGCGCGAGTCGAGATGCTCGTGTAAACATACCGAATTTATGCGAGACAGCTCCGAGAACACCGAGAGTGCAGGCACTCACCGCCAGCGACCTGAACCACATACCAGGACTTCAGCTGTCTGATATCTCAGTCAGCACAGGGAGGAAGCAGAAAGTCTGGTTTAGCGTGCTAATCAGCCCACTTTTTAACTTTGACCCCTCGTTTAACCAATCCAAATCGGAGGAGTGTCGCGCGTGCTGCCGTAATCCACGCTGTACTTGACGTCAGGCTTGGCTTTTAAATTATTATTATTATTAATGTTATTTTTTTTATTCCAGAATATCATCAATACAATGAAGTACAAGCTAACTACAGTAAGCGGTAAAACGATTACAAAAATTTAAATTAGAACAAAAGACAAAAATAAAATATTTGTACATATTTTATGATGGATGTAACAAATAGATCAATAATACATATTAAGGAAATTCATTTTAAAAGTATTATTAATATTCATAACGCACATATATGATATAAATGTCTCTTTCACATTTCTCACCAGCTTTGACTATTTTTAGTTTGTTTGTTTGTTTTTCCTAAAAAGGTTTTTGTTGATGGCCTTGCCGAATAACGAAATGGAAAAGTACATCGAAATAATCTTTATAAATCGATCTTTTATTATTATTATTGTTATTATTATTATTATTATTAAACACTTGCTTAGGGAATACAAAAGTGAAAAAACATATGCCAAGGAAAAGAGCCAGTGGTTCAAGGATGGCCAAACAATACATAGCAATTAAAATTCAGAAGAGAGAGAGAGAGAGAGATAATAATAATAATAATAATAATAATAATAATAATAATAAATAATAATACAAATTTGACAACTACAAAAAAAACAATTACATTAATAATAAATAAATAAATAGAAAAAAATTCAACAGATCACATAACAATAAACATAACAATCTTTCCTACAAAACATAAAAATGATACAAAAACACCAAAAAGTGAGCATACATTCAAAGTTTTAGTTGCCTTTTTGTTACAGGAGGTAGACAAGGATTTAATATAGATCTTACTATGTTCTATAAAGTGAGAAAATTGGGAGGTGACTTTCATAATCTTGCATTTGTGAATAAAATATTTTTACAAGCAAAATAATTAGGTAGCAAAGAAAGTAAACCTTTTCATATTGCTCCTCAAAAGTGAAAAATCCAAACAAAATATCTTTAGAAAAGATCAAAGTCATCATGTTTGAAGTTTACAATGAACTGTTTTTCAAAAGTCTTGCCAACGTTTTCTGGTATGAACACAATGCCAAAAAAAGATGCAAGACCGTTTCTGGTTGTGAGTCACAGAAAGTACAGTTCACATCTGTACTTCATTTGAATTTTGACACAATAAAGGTTTTACCAGGATAGTACTGATGATTTATAAATCGAGCTTTTGTCATTAATGAGGGACAACTAGTGGCGTCAGAAAAACGTAATTAATATTCAATAACGCAGCGTTCGCTATAGGGCGGATTTCAAGAACGTTAGCGATAACTATTTAATATTCATAAGCTAAGCCTTCTCCGTAGTAGGAATCTTAATGTCGCTTTCGGGTCGGTAGTTGTGGTGAACGGCTTCAAAATAAGTGATGTCTTTTGGACTTAATTCCACACAATCGTATCAGTTTCTTGTTCGATTTGTTTGCACTATGTAACTAGAGTTACATAATTCGCACTGTACTAACGGGTCTGACCGCCCTTCGTTGTCGAGCGACCAAAGGTCATTTTATCTCCGGTTGCAGGTGTCGCTGCCTGGTGTTTAACTCCAAAATGAGCGCAAGGAATATTGCCCGCTTTTGGGAATGGGGAAGGAAAATTATATGCGTCGGGAGAAACTATGCAGATCACGCCATCGAGCTCAAAAATGCAATTCCCAGCGAACCTGTGCTTTTCCTGAAGCCCCCGTCTGCTTACGTTAGGGAAGGGTCTCCTATCCTGCTCCCCTTCTACACCAGCAACCTCCACCATGAAGTTGAGCTGGGGGTGGTGATTGGTAAAGGAGGAACTGCTATTCCTCAATCTTCAGCCATGGAGCATGTGGCTGGATATGTGTTATGCCTTGACATGACAGCTCGGGACATTCAGGACGAATGCAAGTCCAAAGGTCTTCCATGGACCCTGGCCAAAGCTTTCAACACCTCATGCCCGATCAGTGACTTTATTCCCAAGGAGAAGATCCCCAACCCGGGGAGCATCAATCTGTGGTTGAAAGTGAACGATATTGTGAAGCAGAATGGAAGCACATCCCAGATGATCTTTTCCATCCCATATCTCATAAACTACATCAGCGAGATCATCTCTTTGGAAGAAGGTGATCTCATTCTCACTGGGACCCCTAAAGGAGTGTCAAGTGTCCAGGAACAAGATGAACTTCAAGCTGGGATTGATGGCATTGTGACCATGACGTTTAAAGTTGATCGAAAAAGTTGATTTGAACTAGAATTAAAGACAGTTCGCTGCAAAGCACAACCATTGTGTTTGTTGATAATGCAAATACAATGTATGATAACGACACAATGATTTTAGAATCACCAGAATGGGGAACATTGTATGTTTTATCTTTTCTGAAAATAAAAATGTGCATCTGACTACATCATATTTTGAGGCCATCTTATACCATTCTATTTCTGAAAAATTATCTGAGGTTGATTTGCTTTCTCACTTTCAACTGCTGGTCATGGAAGTTAAAATGTGTAGAATTAACTTTTTACCAGGTCTAAATGCACTTTAATCAGAGTAGCTTTGTTTTTACACATCTCAGATGGTAACAGATTGACTAGATTATTGACATAATGGTATACCAGCTACAAGAAGCAACATGAAAACAGCAGCTCAGCCTCACATTATGCAGAAAAATCTGCATGTGGTTGCACTTGTGTCAAATTATGACACCTGAATAACGACGCTGTGCATAGTTTAATCTTGAGGACGTAAGTCTAACATATAATAGTAGGCAAAATGAGTTACTTAGTTATTAGCCATTTGTGATTGTTATATCAGAAAAATCAGATGTGGTTTCACTGGGAGTAAATCAGAGGTCAGCATCAACATGAAATGCTTATAGCTTGTTTTTTCCTTAAATAATTAAACCCCGTTTCCTGTAAAAGGCAAATAAAATACAATATACAAACAGAAATAGAAACATTTCTTATGCAATCCTGGCATAGGTTGCTTTTATTGACCTCTACATAGAGTATGAACGTACTTTATAGTTTTAAAGTAACACCATGCTCCATTACATATTCATTCACACAAACAATGTATTCATTAATCCCATTTAAAAGAAGATGTTCATGGAGGATTTTAGACTTTGAACTTTACACTCTTGGGTTTCCATTAATATGTAACAGCAGAAAAATCCAGCAGTTTACATGCAGACGAGGTTTAGTGATTGAAATCTCTGCACTTAGCAAACAAACAGTGATCTACAGAAACAGCAGCAGTAGTTTCCAAAATGGTATTGTTCTAAATTTGTTAATACAAACATTATTTCAAGTGGTAAATGTGCTAAACAATATCTAATAGATTATCTCTGCATGAACAAGTGGGGATGCAGAAATGATCAAATCAGCATTTGTGATTCTTACATTATCAAGTAACCAAATTAATTACACTTTTGTAACTACTGACCTATAACAGGAAAAGTAAGATCAAATGTAAACTACCATTTAAAGGTTTGGGGTCAATTAAATTACACTCTAAAAAATGCTGGGTTAAATACAACCCAGTGTTGTGTAAAATAGGGACAAACCCAACCAGGTGTCGCTGCCTGGTGTTTAACTCCAAAATGAGCGCAAGGAATATTGCCCGCTTTTGGGAATGGGGAAGGAAAATTATATGCGTCGGGAGAAACTATGCAGATCACGCCATCGAGCTCAAAAATGCAATTCCCAGCGAACCTGTGCTTTTCCTGAAGCCCCCGTCTGCTTACGTTAGGGAAGGGTCTCCTATCCTGCTCCCCTTCTACACCAGCAACCTCCACCATGAAGTTGAGCTGGGGGTGGTGATTGGTAAAGGAGGAACTGCTATTCCTCAATCTTCAGCCATGGAGCATGTGGCTGGATATGTGTTATGCCTTGACATGACAGCTCGGGACATTCAGGACGAATGCAAGTCCAAAGGTCTTCCATGGACCCTGGCCAAAGCTTTCAACACCTCATGCCCGATCAGTGACTTTATTCCCAAGGAGAAGATCCCCAACCCGGGGAGCATCAATCTGTGGTTGAAAGTGAACGATATTGTGAAGCAGAATGGAAGCACATCCCAGATGATCTTTTCCATCCCGTATCTCATAAACTACATCAGCGAGATCATCTCTTTGGAAGAAGGTGATCTCATTCTCACTGGGACCCCTAAAGGAGTGTCAAGTGTCCAGGAACAAGATGAACTTCAAGCTGGGATTGATGGCATTGTGACCATGACGTTTAAAGTTGATCGAAAAAGTTGATTTGAACTAGAATTAAAGACAGTTCGCTGCAAAGCACAACCATTGTGATTGTTGATAATGCAAATACAATGTATGATAACGACACAATGATTTTAGAATCACCAGAATGGGGAACATTGTATGTTTTATCTTTTCTGAAAATAAAAATGTGCATCTGACTACATCATATTTTGAGGCCATCTTATACCATTCTATTTCTGAAAAATTATCTGAGGTTGATTTGCTTTCTCACTTTCAACTGCTGGTCATGGAAGTTAAAATGTGTAGAATTAACTTTTTACCAGGTCTAAATGCACTTTAATCAGAGTAGCTTTGTTTTTACACATCTCAGATGGTAACAGATTGACTAGATTACACTGGGTTGTATTTAACCCAGCATTTTTTAGAGTGCATTATAATTTTTTTTAAAGAAATTAATAGTCAGCAAGGATGCATTAAATACAAAAGATTTCTATTTCAAATAAATACTGTTCTTCTGAACATCAAAGAATACAAAAAAAAAAAGTATCACAGTTTTCCAGAAAAATATTAAGCACAACTGTTTCCAACATTGATAATAATAAGGAATATTTCTTGAGCAGCAGATCATGCTGGGTTTGTCCCTATTTTACCCAGCACTGGGTTGTATTTAACCCAGCATTTTTTAGAGTGCATTATAATTTTTTTTAAAGAAATTAATAG